CACTCACTCACTCACTCACTCACTCACTCACTCACTCACTCACTCACTCACCACCACCGCCACCACGATCACCTTCATCACCACCATCAGCTCTCTGGACCCCAATGCGTCCAGATCTCGTAAGCCAAGAAAATACAGGACAGAGTGCAATGACATGTAAATAAAATCCTAACCCCCTACCTCCAGGAACATGGAGAAACAACTTTTTAACAGTGACATTTTTCTCCTGTCCCCTAAACCCCCCACTTCAGAAACAACTTCCACATGGAGTGACAAGAAGAGACGGTGAACTGATGCGGAATGCTGTGTGAAGCAACTGTGGCACGAAAACCAACAAAAAAAATCTGGATATCCTTATTTGTTTAAAAAAGGTGCCCCTTCTTTGCGGGGCACTACAGGCATTCATCACAAGCCTACCCCTAGCAGTGCGGATTTTTGTCCATAGGTCATCCTTGCACAAAGTTCCTGTCATTGGACTTGGTCAGCCCAAATGGACAAAAATAGTTTCACCTTAGATTTTCTGACTTTGTGGTGTGAGTCGAGTCTTTGGGGATGAGCCTGGTCTTTGGGGATGAGTCTGGACGGGGGAGTTGTGTATGGAAAAGTGGAGATGATTTTCTAGAGGAGTCACCCTGGAACAAACATATTTCAGTGAAAATGGTCTGCCCCAAAGGGCAAAATTTATGTCACATCAGGTTTTTCACCAATTGTGATGTGAGTCGGGTCTTTGGATCTAAATCCGGTTGTTGGGGTGGTTGCATGTGGAATGGTGTGGATTTTTGTCCAGATGTGCAATCCTTGCAGCAGGTGAATGTCATTGGACAAGATCAGCCCTAATGGACCAAAATAGTTTCACCTCAGATTTTCTGACTGTGGTGTGAGTCGAGTCTCTGGGGATGAGTCTGGATGCGGAGGTTGTGTATGGAATAGTGGCGAATTTTTTTTCCAGAGGAAAAATATGTCAGTGAACATGGTAAATGGCGAGAGCAACAGTTCGATCCAGGCAATTCAGAACGTAGATGCTCAAAGATGCAGGCCGCGGGCGTTCCACCATGGCAAGTGAAGCATCCCGCTAGGGCTACCCATCTAGGCTGCCCTCGTGCGGGCGCACGAGCACCAACCATGGAGCCCTGTAATCCCAACTAAACAAAACCATCCCTTTAGGTACTTGAACCAGACTTCTTCCGATGGGTCCTCCGTCTCGACTCTTCGGCTCCCAGTTCGGCTCACGGAGCGACGAGTCAACTCGCAGCTCAGTGGCTCGTAGTGAAAGGTCGGACCGGTGCCTCGCACGGCGGAAGCGGAGGAAGCGGATGCTCCTTGGAGCTTCTTGGACCCACGGAAGAGCCGGTGGGTGAGCGGAACACAAAGACCTGGAATTCCATTTAAAACCAATCAAGTGCTACAATTGATCTGAATCTATGTGGCCAACTGTGTTTCTTGTCAACCACATGCACAACAGGTTCATGTTTAACGGTGCGGTAGAATCAAATAGAATCCAATAGATATGACAGCTCTTCCACAAAATACTGGCGAATGGATCCACCGTTCAATGCTTGTCACAGGGTACCTTCAAAGGTCCCACATCACAGCGGAGACAGTCTCGGGTGTTCAGTCAGACTCGGCTCAGTCTTCGACCTGACAGTCTTGCTGTTTCTTCTCATGTTCTCATGATGAAAATAAACGTTGATGCCGAATCTCACCGAGAAAATAAAAAGGTAAGTATACAAAAGCGGCTCCTTCATGTGGCTCTTGCTTTAGCATAAGTTTGTCGTGCAACGGGCACACTTAGTTTCTATGGATTCGGGAATGTGCTCAGTGTCGTGAAACCTTGGCCTGGTACCGTGGAACCAGATTTGGAGCTCCCCATGCAAACAAGAACCCACACACTTTGTGGGAAGAATTGAACAACTTGTACCGCTTGTCGCTTGTATTGTTGTTTTTTAATCAGCATAATTTAACGAATCATGTTGAACACGCATTTCTGTATCCTTGTAGCTGCCAACCTTGTGCTAAGCCCGTTTCTTGCAGGGCTTCAATTCTCAGACCCACTGCCAATGCATGTATAGGTCCTTTCAGGTATTGAATCAGTATAGGATGCATAACAGACTTGCACTTTCATCGACCTATGCAATCCTTTTGGTTCGACCTTCTCGGTCCAACCCTCACAGCTCCGATGTCTCTAAAAGGCAGTGGACTCCACGCCTGCATGTCTGAAGAGGTGGAAAATCTTCCTAGGCCGGTTTGGCCAAGCGACCAAGCGATCACCCGCCCCCTTTGACAGTACCCAAAGCAGCGTGGAAGTGCCGGCAAAATCATTTGCGGGGGGTTGCAACCGCGTATTGTAAAGATTGAAAGAGATGGCAAGTGGCAGGAGGATGTAGAAGGTCGCAAGCTTGGCATAGTGCACAACTGTTGAGATACTCTCTGAAAGAATGGTTTGTACTATAGTAGCCTGAGGCTTGGTATGCCCGATGGGAAACATAACAACACTAATATGACTATACATTATGAATCAAACTGAGTTAATCGTTAGATAATATTTGATATGATATGCTTGGAAACTGTGCAGCGCAGCACATAGCTAAATTGGCTTCTGGTTGGGGTATTTGCTATTCTTCCAACACGTTTTGCAGGTAGACTCTATGATGAACACAACTTAACTATGCATTTCCTTGCATTTACTGTTTGAACATAGAAACACGGCCCGCCTCGGATGGGGTGTTGGATCTGAGAGTGGACTGTTGAGGTCTGGGCTTTTCACTTTGAGTACCGGCGCGAAACAGACTCCGTGTATCCAAGCCAGGCGGTTGCTGGTTCTCTCCCTCATGCAGTTCCCGAACTAGACAGGATGTCTGCCGACCGGTGCCCCCCGTGCTTCGATCCTTTGGGCCCCCCCCCCGTCCTCGGTCGAACGTCTCGAGTCTCAACCAACACATCGTGCCCACGCGTCCCCAGTGGCCGCTGCGTCTCCGTTCGGGGTCACCTGGTCTGAAAACGTCTCCAAACAGGACACCGGTGGGATTTCGCTGGCCCACATCGACGTCCCAGTGGCCGCTGGATCAAAGGCTGCGGTGCAGACTGCTCGGCGGCCTGTCGTGTCAGACTGCATACATCCCCTGTGGTGTCACGCCGGAGTGGAAGGAGCCAGGGGCCAAGGGCCAACCGGAGAAGGTCCCCAGACTGCCAGGCATCCCGAATGAGGACCTGCACTGGCTAAAACAGATCATTGAGATATCTTTGGACTTTCGCCCGCACTATGCACAGAATGAGGTCTTGGAGGGGCAGGCCTGCTCAAGGATCAGGAACTGTGGTTGTTAAGAGACCTTTTAACATCATTGAACCCCAAACATCCCCAAACAACCTGGACCTCTCACGCAAGTTGTCCAGGCTATGGCATTTGAGATTCGAGTTGTTGATTTGAGTTGTCGAGGCGGATCCAAAACCCTTTCTGAAACTGCGCAGGACAAGACCTCCAACCCTACCAGACTCACCGTCACAGATCCCTACCTTGAGCTCAGCGCGTTGATGCGTCAAGTCCGCCTGGCACGGCTCACGTCCAATGAAGCGCCAGACCAAAAGGTTCTGGAAACATGTGACCTTTTCTCAGTGGCAAAACCGGCTTTTCAAGTCGACCATGGAAGCACCGGATATGCCGCATCGAAGATCCTGAGGTTGGGTCCGAGACCCTCCACGACTCCACGACGCCGCTTTCGGTCAACCGGAACGCACGCAACAATTGAGACGGAGAGCACGCGCAATGAGACGCCCGCCTGTTTTTGCTTCTGAGCGTCTTCGGCCTCTTGCTTTTGACCTCAGTTCCCGTGGAATACACATATTCTGACAATGGTAAGCATGGTTATATAATCTGGTGTGTTTATGCAATTCTCAAGAAATAGACAGGTGCGGAAAGCTATTCCTCGTCTCGTCCAACACCTAGGGTTTTACAAACAAATTGGTATCGTTCTACAGTGTCTACAGTTTACCAGCTGGATCACCTGCAGCTTCTTGCGAGCAACAGCCAGTCTTTCTACCGTCCTCTTGGAAGCACCACTGCTATCCTACATCAGGCAGTTCTCCATAAAGGGTCCAAAGTTAATACAATAGTTACCTCCAACATGACTTGTGATTGATGATGAACATCTCCATGCTATGTATCAGGCGTCCTGGACCTCTCTTTTTTTACACGTTCTTGAAGTGCTGCGAGTGAGGTGATGATCCCAAGTGCTGTGAAAAGGCAAAGCTTCAAGAGAAGGACATCATGCCTTTAAACACTTGCACGTGTTTTGCTATCTGTCTTGTGGCTACATGGTAAATTGAAACAACATGAAACAACATGATCAATTCACAATCTATACAACTATACGTATAACATTTAATTACATGCTTCGCTCTTCTTTTGGTTCAGGGCGCAAAACTCCTCCAGTAGAGCTCCACTGTGACACACCGTGGGATGGAAAGAGGAAGGGCCGTGGTTTCATATTACCAACCTCACGTTGTTCCATGTTTATGTTCATGCCAAACTTTATCTACATAACTGCCAAGATTCGTCGTTCTCCTACAAACCACTGCCTTTTGGGACAAGTACAATAGAGGTAGCATGTTGCTCCACGGTCAACACCAGACTGTAGACATCAGTACACTCCTTGAAATACTCATCAAAGTGTTCACCACCTGCTTGTTGTTCGGAAAGTCGTCATCCAACGAACTATTCCATCCACTTCCATGATTTGTTTCTCTGAATTAGAGGTGGTGAACTCCAGTTCCATGATCATTTCTGGCATATTTCTCAGTTTGACTCCTCCCTCCCTCACTGCTGAGCCGAACTACGCGCGAAAAAGGCCGCGTCCGTGCGAGGGTCGTCACCTGGTGCGCTTGTGCGCACGTGGCGGTACCGCGGGGGCTGGCGAATTCAGTCTCGATCGTTTCGTCATTGGAAGACACCCGTTTCCCAACCTCATAGGGACTGGATCTGTAGCTGGATGCGGCACAGTCCATGGATCTGCCAAATCTACCATAAAAAGTCTAGTGTGTTAAACTTCAAGCAACAGGGACTTGTCTAATTACTGCTTTCAGCAGTAGTTGCCAAATTCCACATCCACATCCAACCACCCGATCATCAACTCTTTGACACGTTTCGATTTTTTTGAACGAACCGACCCGGTTCGTTACCCTCCCCTTAAAGCAGATTGATTCTGGGTCCATCAAACACAGTCTCCGGATAACTGAAACTCCTTGGGCCGTCGGGGCGCTGGAGAGTTGACTCTTCAGACGCTGCAGTTCCTGCACCTTCGCCACCACTGCCTGGGTCGGATCAGATCAACGGTCCACACATGGTGCCATGATGCAGCGGAGTACTAGTAGCATGGATTGAAAGGCTTGGAATGCGATTGAAAAACCCCAAGGCAGGCAACCAAACATGACCAGGGACTCGTTGAAGGATTCGCAGGGACCCGGCCATCATTGGCCATCCGGACATGATGAAAGTACCAAGTAAACAAGGCTTGAGGTTGAGGTTGATGACCCATATCCACAATGAATAACATGTTGCCGATAGCATTACATTCCGTGGTGGAAGAACTATACCCATTGGTGCAATTTCCTGAAGACAAACCTGCGCCGCAACATTAAACTTTGCATTGCTCAACTATCCGCGATGTTGTGCCATTCATTGATGTGTCATATCGCCCCATGCATGGAATGCCGGGATTGACATCTGGAATGACCCCCACTGGTCGGTGTAACACGAGTTGTCCCATGAAGTCTCTGACTTTGCTCCCCTTCAGCCTTCAGCTGTACAACTGCGGTGATCCCAGTTGTTGGGAGTATGCTCAAATGCCATCTGGGGCATTTGAGCAGGCAAAATCGCTGGCTAGATCCTCTTAAGGCATGTTGGCAAGGTCTGTCCCTGGAAGCTCCTCCCATTCTGACCCAACCAGGGGGGCGCGGGGTGGGGCAGAGAGCGCGCGCCTCAACATATGATTTGTCCAATCCTCACATATGGATATTTCTTCTGCAACTCACCAGATCTCACATTATCAGACATCGCCCCAGCCGGGCCCTTTCAAGCTTCATTCCCTGACCCATCGGTGAAATCACGTCACGACGCGCCGTGACCGTGAGGGTCCTGGTGGTGGTTGATCTCCGAAGACTTCAAGCCCTGCGTCTTCAAGTCTGCCTCCGAACTCCACGTGCCCCGGCGAGAAAACGCCCGGACGTCGGACAACTTTAGGCAAACTGGACCGTGGAGAAGGTCTGCTGTTGGGCGAAAATGGGGGCTTGGATTTTGTCCGTGGTTTTACGAGCCTCATCATGAGAGCAAAAAAAAGGGTGTTGGAATGACCATAAAGGGCGAGACAAGTGAAGTCCCAGGAGGACGTGCATAGGCCCCAAACATGTGGCCCTCTGGCATACGACCTACCTTGAAAGCCATTAATTAAACTACGTGTCTTTAATTTGTCAAACGGCCTTGACCATGTGTTCAATCGGTCATTACGGTTTTCATTGTCTGGAGCCACTTGTGTGAGAGTTGCCATAACTTTTTACGACGTTCTTTCAACAAAATGTTGACAAACTACGGCTCTGCTACGGGTATGATTAGGTTATTATATACTCCTTTGATTGCACAATCTGTTTGGGGCACTACGGGAAAAATTAGTACTTGCATAGAGTGCTCAGGGAACATATACGCCTGACCCACTCCCTCGAAGTGACCCACTCCGTGGCCTTCAATTGCCGGATCTCCGCCGCGAGCGCATCGACCTGCGCCGTGTTTGAGCGAAGGATGCGTCCGGACCGCCATGATGCAGCTTGCGCGTGTGACAATATACACGTAGTCACATATATACCATGAATATCCATGAATGACCTTGGTCAGCGTATGTTATATAGTATAGACATGTATAGACCAAGGATGACGACCTTGCGGTCATTCATGTTCTCTTTTACCTGCCAACAAGAACCGTTGAAGCAAATCCAACACGGATCGATCTTCCATGATCTGCCAAGCTATTCCCTTCCACTCTTTTCAACTGGTATGCTAAAGGATTAGACTTCTTGTGGCGGAAAATAACACTAACCTGGCGCTGATGCTTCAAGGGGCGCAAGAAGGGCACACCTGAGATGTGCTGTGGCATGACTACCTCTTGGCAAAAATGGTGAGTCAACACCATTCTCTGACGCTAACTCTAAACCATCCGGAGATGAAGGTTTGACCAGACCTGAATGTATCAGCCCGAATTGAGAAGCACAGCAACCATCAACAACCTCTGGAGGTGACAATGTATACCTAGTCCTTTCGTGAATGAACCCTGTGGGCAGGATCTTCAACGACGCACAGGGCACAGAAGATTGTTCCAATTACTTTGGGTGAGGTGTATATCTAGCCATCTAGTCACAACAACTCATTATGTTGGTAACTGTAGAGATCATTTCTTGGATTACTCCATATTTTGTCACTCCTCTTGCTGACTTCAATCCCAACACCTTAGGCATCCCTGCCTGCGCGTCAGTACTGGCTCCGGCCATGGTATGCCGCCGAGTTTCAATGGATTTGGAATTGCTTAGGAAGTTGGAGATGTATCAGCAAGGTTCAGCAACATTCCTCCGTGTTTTCTCTGCTTCTCTTATATAGCTTTGATGTTTCCATAGACATGGGCATGGGTGTGTCACCATGTTCAATGCTGTGTGAAGACCAGCAGGAATTCCAAACTCTTCCTTTTAGGGCCTCTATTCTTTCTGGTTTTGCAGGTTGAGCCTCTATAGTGTCTACAATCTGGAAGAACAATTTCGCAGTGCCTCAGGAGTCGCACATGTCTGCTGAGCTCCCGTTTCTGGGAACTGAGCTGCCTCCGTTGTGTCCTTCGATGCTTGCGTTATGGAGCCTGAAGCTATGCTGCAGAAGCAGCCTGACACTCAAGCACAGCCCACACTCAAGCAGCCAGCAGCTGTGGCAACAGTAGCAACCAACATGATAAGAACAGGAACAAGGGTTCTCGGAAAGGGTCATTGTAAGTCTGGAATGTCAATGGATGTGGAAGGAGGCTCCGGCTCCATCTCAACACCCTCTCTCCTGGTGCACTTCAGAGGTCAAACACATTGATTCAGACTCTGAGAGGCTTCCGGTCCTCCGATCGGGTGGGTTCCGGTCCTCCGTCGATCTGAGGGCCACTACTCCACCCCTGCAGATAAGGATGGATGAGCTGGGGCCGCTAGGGTATGGACCGTTCAAACACAACAGCTTACACCGCCCACCACCCACCTTTGATGCATAGTTGAAACGGAAATCCGTGTTGACCATCCACCCTGCCACCCGGTACTACCTTCGGTTCTCTTGAGACGCCGGTGTGGCAAGCAAACACGGTGGACCTGTGGACGCCACCAGTCTGAGCAGTCAGAGCGCAAAAACCCCACGGTCGGCTGGGGTAAGTACTAGGATTGGCTGACCCAAGGAACCAGTCATGCATGAGGTGATCATAGCTGATCTGAGTAAATGCTACGAACTGAACCGATGGGTGTATTTATAATAGGAAAACACCCGATCGCCCTGATGGGTAGACTGGTCTATTTCCTCAACCTTCCAGGGGATCGTTGCCGGGGTCTTCCTATTTGAGCTAGACACCCCTAGATTGAAATATAGCTTTTCGGAGCAGGCCTTCGCATGTGTCCATGTGGTCCCGACCCCAGTTCCAGTGAACCATGAGACTGCAAGAGTTAGCTACCATGAGACTGAGGTCCTCTCTGTGGCGTATGACTGTCCAAAAGAACCTACACCCATTGGAAATTGAAGTAAATGATAGGAACATCCATGCGTCGGAGGCCCAAATTTACATCCATCAAAAGCAAGAGCGCATGATCATTTTGATATTTGGGGATTGCACGTGACTGGAACATTGTAATTACAGTACTCTAAATAACTTAAAACAATCATTCTTTTCACTTGAGAATAACAGGATTCTCTTCAATCCCCCGGGTGGAGCTCACTGTCCAGCATGGCCTCAGATCAACGCCCATCTGGGGTTCTGTGGGTGCCTTCGCTACTAGGCCAGCAACCATGTCGAACTCAACTCCAAGGGTCGTCCGGCGAAACTAAAAACAAATGGGACAAAATGTTGAAAAACAATCTATAAAGACAAATTGGACATGCAAAACTAAAAACATGTTCCTGAGAGGAGGCTTTTTGATCGGACATCTACAGTAACAAATCACACACATCTTTTGGAGATGTGACAGCGTCACTTGAGAGTGATGGTCAAAGAGTAGCGACCTGCTGCCATTTCACTTACTTAAATATCTTAAAGTCTTATAATGTATATTCAACTACATTCAATTTAACTACCAGGAGTCACAAAGGGGTGCCTATTGGATGATAGATAGGGGTGCCCAAAACATCCACTCACTGGATGGGACTAAAAACCACCCAACTCCATGTGACTCCTGGTAAACTGAAATACATCTGGATGCACCAGTTGCAGGAACCATTGAACCTCCACAAATTGAAAAAGAAGCGATCGCCGCCCTGCCGAGCTCCTTTTCCTTGCAGCGATCACAATGCCCGGTGTCCAGGAAGCGGGCCTGTACGAGATTGGAGTGAGTGGAACGCATTTGATCCCTCTTCCACCACCCCAAAGTCGGCTAGTGAGAGCTGCATAATCTGCATCCACTGGGCTGATGAAAACAATTTTTGATGGTTTCCTCTGATTTTCTGGTGGTCAATCTCATGTGTCCCGATCCGTCCGCATTTCGTCCGCATCCGACGTCACACGCGTATGGTACATGCAAAAGATGGACTTAACTGGCGACCCGGTGAAAGCAAACATGTGGAGAGGGTCGTGCTCACAATGCAGTTGACAAATGATCCTGGAACCATTCTCATCCCCCAACCTGATCCATACAGCTATCCATCGAATCCCTTAAACCCAGTCAAGTAGAATTGATCTGAGGTTACTGTGGCCGGTCTTTCCTCCTGCTGCAGCACTCAGACATTCCTTTGCCCAGTGCGTCACAAGAAGAACTAGAAATTCTAGTTCCCGCAGGATGTGGTTGTGAGGTTGTGAACCTTGTGAACCTTGTCAGGGTCCAGGGTATTTTGATAGACAGCGATGTCACTCCGGGGATTTGACCCTCGCCCCACCCCCCCCCATTTTAATCACCCGACTAATCAATGACAATGTTGTGAAATGGATTTTCTACAAAATTGCTCGAAACCATGATATATATATATAATCGAAAATGCTTATGACCACCAATTCAACGCTCTCCCCAGTGGCCCTGGGGACGCATAGAAAGTGCTGTAAAATGCGTTCAACCTTCTGGGGTGGGACTGTCCACCATTGGCATGATTAATCCAGGGTGGTTTGACTCTATGTTTGTATTGTAATCCAGGGTGGTTCGACAGGTGTCAAGCATCATGCAAACCACCTCCGTTTTTTGTAATTGACACCCACCACCCACCCAGCGCACTAATTATTAGAAAACACCAGTAACTCCACCTCTGAATTACTTCCAACGTTGAGGGCATGCCGTAAATACCACATAATTTACAAACAAGTTCTCGAAATGACCCGGCCGCTAGGAACGTGTTGCTGGCAGAATGAATTGAATTACAATTCATGCTCACCTGGTTTAAAATAAACAACAAAACAAAGACTTTGCCATGCTTTGCCAAAGCAAGGCAGGTAAAGGATCCTCTGATGAACCGAATTGCTCACGTTTGGATGCACTTGAGGGATTTGAGTGAAGGGGTTTGCACCACCTGGGCATAGCTCAACTACGATGACGAAAACTACCAGCATTATCCAGCTATCCACCACGCTTGGCACATCCTGTTTTGGAGCCGTTGGCATGCCGAAATCATGTGCCGGAACATGTTCCTTGTTATAGTGGGAGTTGATGGCACAATCCCACATGTTGGTGGTTTATGCGCACCCCCATCTCAAGGACTTGTTGGGGGTTGTGCCATTTACTGGGAAACCGCTGTACATCTGAGGTAAAGACCTTTCCTCTCCCGCCAAGGTTTGGGCACTCCCTGAGCCACCTGTGCACTGTGACTGTGTCAAAGACCTGGCGCCGGGCCAGCAGCAAGCACGGGCTCTATTACCTTACTACCAATGCTCAAGTACTACAAGTAGGTGCAAAGTTGCATATGATACAGTATCTGATATGTAACAATGTCAGAATATGATACACTTGTCATAAATGTCATAAACAACATGGCCTTCACGAGCGTCAGGATGCCAAAACAACACTGTTGTACTGTTGCGGATGTCTCGGTTTTCACTGGTCAAGCAGTGTTGCCACGAAGCAGCTCCTCCACAAGGTGGAGTTGCGTGGGGAGCTCACTACCACCACTATCAACACTATCACGATCATCACCACCGCCACTACCATCACCAGCACGACCACCATCACCATGGTTCCGATGGCTGAAAGCTGTAGAGCTAGAAACTGGGCTCACTATAGAGGAATTCATGGGAAGGACACCATTCACATTCCGAACAAACATGCAAGTTTGGAACTATTCGATGTTCGATCGGAGCTGCTTCGAGCCTCTCGATAGGCCTCTTTCAGCAGCTGCAAGTCCTGCACAGAGACGGAATTCGGCTCAGTGGAGAATCTACTCGACAATGGACTGGATTCCCCTGGAGTAGTATCGAAATCTTCCACAAGGAACGACACCAGTACAATCATCATGGAGGTCAGTTGAGTTGACAACATATGCCAGTATTTGTTCATTAGATACGTACCACAATAGGCGGGTAGAGGTTCAGAAATCTTTCGGTCGGCATGTGAGTTGTCACAACTCAGTGGCCCATGTGGTTCGTATTGAATGAGGAAATGTACGTTGGAAGTCCCTTGATAGCTGCTTGGGGTCAGTCACTCCGCTTCACCGAACATGTGAAGACCAGATTCATCCAGATCCCAAGGACGAAGCAAATGGGGAACTGCACATCCAGCCTGAAACCTAGCCAGTCAGTAATCTAGTAACCCATGTCCATTAACCATCCCTTGTGGTTCCTGGTAGTGGGCCTATGAAAAGTAAGGTCTTTTGATCTGTTAGGTACGACCCGAGCAAGCCATCTCTCCGTCCTGGAAACACCTAAAAGGGTGGTTGACTCGTTGGCCCAGTGCGTGGAACCTCCTCAGACATCCCCAAACCATCTATGATTATAGTCACTAAGCTCATATCATACATGGGGTCAATGTGTGTAACTCTGGATTTTCTGGAGTCGGAGTCGGAGGCATCTTTTTACGGATTTTACGGGTTTCAATCGCTTCGTCAATTCGATAGCAATAACCGGGCAACGGAGGGGTATATGGGTGGAGATACTGTGTAGAATTGTGTGTAGATTGGCAGATTGGTCACTGTTAGGCCTCCTTGGGCTGCGAATCCAGCATCTTGCTGGCCAGTAACTAGTCGGTAAGCCAAGGTAATCCTGAATCCTGAAACAGGCCAGGGAAAGGGAAGACATCCACTCCCTTTATATCCAAACAAGAACCATCTGAGAGGTCCGCTGGAGATCCGCTGGATAGCGTCTCCATTAGAAGAACAGGGGGCAAGGTGGGTGACAAACCCTTGGGGCTGGCAAGCAGATTCCAACGAGATCCGAAACATCAACACACGACCCAAGCACAGCTACTCAACCCATCCGAAATCCTCGTTGCGTCGTTGGTAGGTCACAGGTCTCAACCTCGTGTCAACCATGTGTGTTCGTGTGTCCAATAAATCTCCACAAGTCATGCACGGAACTTGAGATGGAAACGCAAGATGTGATGTCAAATATGATTGATTTCTTGATGTTCCAAAATAAGAAGTCCTTCTTTCAGCGTGTTTGATTCGGACATTTCAGAGCCAAGCCCAAATGGAATTCATTTGTGGGAGGACGTCCTCAGTCTCCATCCTTCTTTGTTGCAGCAAGACATCGGTCAAAGGACCTCTCCGAAGATGTTTCAGGCAGTGCCTTTAATGACTCACTTTGGATCTATTGGCCATTGAAGTTGATAATATCGCTGCTTTAGGGCATTCAAACAAAGTGTATGCCTAGCAGCTCAAGGGCGTGTGAAAAGGATTGATTGATTTGGATACCTTTCCATTAAACAGCTCCTATATCCCAGGCAGAGTTGTATGGGGCCAGGATTGGGCTCAAGTTGTGAGATGCCAAGCAGTCATTGCGAATAGTTGAGGCGCGCCAAATGGTGCCTGATATTCACTTCCCCATCTTTCATGGACTGGATGTTGAAGAGTCTTGAGTTGCCACACCGATCAACGATCTAACTATCTTCTCCAAACCCAGCTGAAACATCCCAACCCGAACTTCCGCATTGCAAAACAATATAATAATCATCCAATTCTTGTCAACCAAGAATTGTAAGAAGAACTCCAGGAGATTTTTGTGGCTTCTGGAGAGATTCTTTAGGAACAAAACATCCATGTATATTTCTATGTGAGATGTTTAAATCAATATTACTTGATACTATTTTATACTGCATAATTTCAATATGATAAACTTCATGATAATTCATGTCTTCAATGTTTTCCCAAAGACCCATGACTTTCTTTCGCCTCTCGGACGCCCCGGCGGTCCGGCCGGTGCGCCGTGGCGCACCCGCGCGGTGCAGCGCACGGCTTCGCCGTGGCGCGACCGCGATGGCTGTGGCCTGGTAGCTGCAGGAGGGCTCCCAGAACTGGTTGTGAAGGAAACATCTAAAGAATGTGTTTGCTGGATTGGGGAATCATTCTCGATGAGCCTGATGATTGGTACCATGGCTTGCTTTCAACCCCAAAAGCATGCGTTTCCTGTATACTAGATGTGTCGATGTGTCGTATTATAACCACGCCTGGGACCTGCAAACGATCCCATGGACCGTGAAAATAGACCCTTGATGACCCTTGTAAGACGCTCCTCATCATTTCTCATCCATCATGCAGCATGCAGGTGGTTTTCAGGGCGAAGACGTGGTCCTCTGCAGGAGGATATTTTCTGTGAAGGAAACAGAATTGGACGCCATGTCTCTGCACTGTTTCACATCTGTTTCACCGGTATTTTTTGAAGAAGACCATGGTGTCATATGGTGACCATGTTGGTCCTTGTCCTATGTCCTTGATAACTTGAAGAGTGATGAATGACAGATAGTGCCAAGACATCCTCTGTGAAAAAAACACCGAATGGTGGGGTGTTGTCTTGTATTCGGGGGTGCTCGCGGCTTTTTATTTTGCTTGAAACCTAACGGTTTCTGTCCCAAAGTCCAACTCAGAATGCAACCTGGTTTCCCACTGTAATCCCATGTAATCCCCCATTGTTGCTGGCAAGCGAACACAACAAAAATCCCTCTTCCAGACCTTCCAGAACTTCTGGTTTTGTGCGACTTGGGTGTTCGAGATCTCATCTCTTCTCTCCACCCTTTGACATCGAGTGTAAACAGATGAGGTCGGTTTGGTCGAGTGAAACCATACTAGGAAGCCTTCAGCAACCGCTTTTTCCTACTCGGGACCCTTCCAGATCTTCCAGTGAAACTTGGAGGAGCGGTCTTTGAAACCTACCACCTGACCACCTCAAGCATCCTCAAGCTCCCAAGAAATCAGGCTGTCTTCCTCCCGATGCAAGGTAGACATGACAGCAAATGCCACGCAATTTGATCAATAACACGCTGTCCCTCTATGAAGAGCTGTTCCTCTATGAAGTGGCAGGCAACTCCAACCTGACTCCAACGTCGTCCAACCGCCGTCCACGGTTTTTGAGTTTGGCGCCTGGTGCTCAGTCGCCAGGGTCCCTCGACGGCGTCGATGGCGTTTTGCAGGACCCGGCCTCCAGGCCTGAGAAACCCCAGCACCGCCTTCGTCCAAACAAGACCCGAAAACACAGGAGCAAGGACTTCCTCAAAAGTGGAGCCGACTGGCTGAAACCAGGGGAGCCGACCAAAACGGAGAGAAGGAGCGAAAGCTAAGCCAGCAAACATCCATGATAAATATAAAAACCAAGCATGATGGACCACCATGTCACACGTGGAGTCGCAGGTTCATTGGAGTCTGTGGCCTGTGCGGCTTGCTATGGACACTAAACAGCAGAGGCACCCAACACCTTGAGAAAACCAAGCAACGTTGACAGCTACAAAGACCAAGGTGCCTGGGGGGGTCTTAAGGACGTTGCAGTCACAAAAAGGCTACGAGCCACTAGTTTTCAGCCTATGCACAGTGCACAGCATTGACGTACCCTCTTTCTTTATCACAGATCTTCTGAAAAATTGGGAACCAACCTCAACCACTGGGTCTTACGCATGACTTTTGTCTATAGTCAGTCAAGTCTATCTTTCCTCTTATAAGCTGTTTGGGATCTCACAATTTGTTGAAACTCACCACGCACATCCCTGCACTAAACCCTCCAACCTGCCCACAACACAGCCTCAAAGCTCTCTTCAAGGACGAAAGGAAGTCTTTGGACCTGACATACATAGCTTGATTCGCTGGTAGATGCGACAGTCAAAATCCATTGACCTGAGGATGGGTGAAACAATCCCGTTCTAAACCTTCTGAGGATGGTTCAAGACACCATGCGGGGCCAGCCCTTGTTTAGATCTTGACCATACTGCCCAGCCCTTGTCTTCCTGAAGATGTTCACTCACTAAGGAGCGTCAACAAACACACTGAGGGTATTTGCATTGCTTGGATTTGCTTAAGGAACCAGGAAAGAAGATTAACTTCACGCTATAGGGAACATGCAAATCACCTTAAGCAAAACCAAACTTAAGCTTGGATTGAGCTTCTCAGCTTTGCAGGTCCATCCTAGGTTGATCCCACTGCGACGAAGAGCGGGTCTGGTAGGACTCATAGGCCGATCTTAGGATCCGATGCTCTAGCACCCGACCTGGTTCGCATGGGTGTCGCCTGGATCGTCGGTCGGGTGGTGCTCTGGGTGTCCAGTAGCTATGTCTACTTGAGTGATATGGGAACTAGACTCAGACCTTGATCGATGTGGCTCAGGTGTCCATGGCCCCACCTTTCCTTCAAACACCGGGACTCCCATGGAACACCAACATCAGGAACATTCCAAAGCATCAACAAAACACACGGAGTTCCAAAACCATTCTCTGCATACAGTTCTCCAGCCAACTGAGCCAACTTAAGTTTGAGAGACATGATGTAACAACAACTAAATGTGATACCAGTTCTCCTGTTAGTCCCTGTTTTGAGCTCCCTTCCTTTCCCTTGATGTTCTTTTTTCGACCGTGCGCAGTGCCATCCCCTTCCTCCGGCCAATATCGGTCCCGAGGGCTCGCGACGTGAAGATGTGGCTTCGCGGCCTCGCCTGGTGAAGGCGGGGACGGCCTCTGTGCGGCCCTCGAAGATGTCGAGCACGCAGGCATCAAAGGCACTATGCCTCGGAATTGAATCGGCGTTAGTGTGGAGTTGCGGCCAGTGGTGGGACAAAGAGGGGCGATCAAGATCCACCTGGATCAAACAGAGTGCCTTAATGTCTGTAGAGATTGTATAGCCTACAGGCCTTGCCAAACACGAGCAGTGGGGTTTGGGGATTCTCAAAATTACCAAAGACCAGGCAGGACTAGAGCTTGCAGGAATTGAATCCTGTGATTTCATCCTTCGTGGTGTATTCGCGAGTGTCAAGGATGCTCGCAAGGCGTGTCAAGGTTGCAATTGCAATATCAGCATCGTGCATGTCAGGAGGGATGCACTGGCAATATGCAGGTTGCGAATCGCGAACGAGCAGCTTTCTGTACATTGTAAATGAGGGACTGGAACAAAACAACAACTGCTATGCTGAACATGCTGAACGAGCAGGTTCCTTTTCAAGTGAGAACAGGCTACAACTGGGGCGCTTGGGCTGGGACCGATCCCCAGCGGGATCCGACCATGACAAGCGGCGAAACACCACGTGCCGCGGTCGGGACGAACGTGAGACGGACAGCGTTGACAACACCGGCAGGCGACCAAAGAGTCGCCAAATAACGCGACCAATGGCCAGCAAACTCTGATGACAGGAAGATGTTGTACGCGCAGCTTATTGAAGTCTCAGTTTTTCAGAAAACCATGCCACTTCCATCTGTTGTGACTGTCCTAGCGGACAGCCACACAGCCACACTTGACTGGACAACCTTCCCCGAGCACCCATTCAACAAGCTTGAGTTTGCCTTTCACTTGTTTAATCTGAGATGTTCTGAGCCCGTTTATGCATGGCAAATCCCTTCTCACCATCTTCACTGGCTGAGCTATGCCCAGCCTTATCTCTCCCAATGCCTTATCTCACCTGGCGACTTTCTTTGTCTGGGTAAGGTAAGGTCATTTTGCTTCGCCATTGTTGAGACCGAAAGGCTCAGAACCCGCCACCTGCAGCAACCTGTCCCAGTGAAATATTATTTTTGCACTCGGATATAGTATAGGAACTAACAGGCATACCCCAACCAACCAGAATCGCAACTGCGATCACTACACTTCACTGCGCTCCAGTTGCTTGGATTTGCTGGCCAGGAACCAGGAATAACATATGAATATCTTGCAGGGAATTCACCCATAGGGAAAATATGGACAATTAAACACTCACCCTAAGCAAAAAAAACAGGGTTGACACTGTTGACATCCTCTGCAGTTGGCAACTGCGCTATCCTTCGCCGCAACGAGAAACGCCCTCTGCTCCGGGCCTGGGCTCAAAGTCTTCCACGGAGATTTTTTTGGATCTCCAGGGGCGTCACCGCCTCCAGGTTTCAGCGCCGAAATGCTCTGCACCGAGCATAGCGGCGCTGTACTTGGAAAGAAGTACTTCACTTCTCGGATCACTGGGAGAAAAAACAACAGATTTTCCAAAAATCACTGCGTTCTTCGAAACATATTGTTCAAGAATTTGTTTCAGCTTGGGATCCCAACACAAACTTAATTTCACGACCTCTGGAAGCTCCAGACTCATGACCCACAAGTACTGATACCAGCCCATTTCTCCCAGAGCTTGGAGAAGGCAACAATCAACACACCATGATTACCCACCTCTTCCCTCCATGATTCCCCCCTGACATTCTCAGTGACCGAAGGGACGGGCGGTTTGGTCCGTCTTTCGTCCAGCTTCGCACCGGAGCGAGGCCGAAGAAGCGTCGCGCCAAGTCAAGCACTTCCCCGGAGCGCTCCAGGGCTAAGACCTGCACGTTGCGGTGGGAAACGTGCCAAGCAATGCGAATGGGATGGGATTGGGCGTTTTGGGTAGCTGGGATTGCAACTGCATTTCTATGTGAGTTTACCTAGATATGTATACAGTTTCTATGTATCAGAAAAAGTCTCAGTGAAAACAAGTTACATATAAGTGACATACCTGGGTATATATATATATATGTACGCATGTCAATAGTAATCTCATCTCCAAAAAGCAAGCTTGCTTACGTATACATGATGTTGCCTGAGTTTTCTTTGTGACACCATTGTAACAATGGTGCCAGGCCCAGGTCTTGAAAACATGACCCTGCCCTGCTTGGCGGATTGTTTGCTGTTGTTTGGCAGGGAGATGCTGGGATTGAGCTTTGCAACATGTCAGACTGATTTCCGTTCAGCTCCACCCCACTACAACATGATTTTGAAGAAGAAATGGTTGTACTCACACAAAGAATCAAATCAACAACAATTGATCTGATGATTTAACACATGAGGTGTTTAGGCAGGGCAGCATGCGTACAGCAGGATGCTCATCCAAATCGCTAAGACAGCTCTTTGCAGCTTGGTGGGTTGCCGGCTGCTTGTTCTGTAGAGCTATGTGAATACTGGTTGCCTTGATGAAGCCAAACGTCCACAACAACTGCCGGACCAGCCATAGGGCTTGTTGAAGGCCTGGTGGGACCTCATCACTCAAGGTCTGTCTTGAAAGCGGTGATGAAAGCTGTCTGATGTCTGATGAAAGCGGTTTTAGAGCTTAATGACTTCTTCAGAAATGAATTGGTGGTCCCACAGTATCCCCTCCCCGTTGCGAAGTCATATGAGTGTCTGTCAAAGCGTGCTGTTAAGCAGAAGACATGATTCAGCAAGGTTACAGTATCACTTTTGAGATGGGCCTGCCCGCTTTTGCTGGTTTTAGCCACATTGTCAACATAACTGAACGTATCCAAAAACTGCGGAAATATGATTATTGCTCTTGATGGGGGCCTATCGATGAGTCATTGCACGTTTTGGTGGCTGCTCATATCTCGTGTCCCACATATTCCCATATATATCAATTGTGAAAAACGGAAACCGTAGTGACTCACTAAATGTCTTGATGAACTAAAAATAAAAATCATACATCGCTGTGCAACGGCTGACTCTGTATTTCTATCCGTTCATCAAGCCCCATAGTGTCCAGAAATCTGCTAAGCAACGTGTTTCACCTTCTTCGTCTTCGTCTGTGATTCCCAGTGGTTCGTGCTCCAAAGCGAAAGCCAGGGCGCCTGAATTCCCCAGGAGCTCAGCACATGAGGCAGCAAGCCGCCACCCAAACCGCAGACCTCGGTGGGTAACATGATGACCACCGGTTAGCCGGTTCAGGGATTGGATATACCCCAGGACACACTGCCTAAGACGCCGAAGTGCAAGACCTAAAGCAACAGACCGGAAACATGTTGTCACAAATTGGAATCGCGAAGGAAAGCGGGTTTATCCTTAAAACTTAGTGGTGTGCCTCTCCCGTGTATGATAGGCAGCTATCTGATGTCAACAACGATTTGTGTGAAGATCAAACAGGTAGATTTCTCTACACGTCTGTATTGAAGCCAAACACGCTATATTATGAAAACGGTTAATATATGGCTACATTATATTCTCAATGGATCCAGCAACTCAAATAGATCCAGCAATAATAAACTTGATGACGTTTCCCACATGCCTCATCAAGAATCGTACATAAACATGTGTAACAAAGAGACCAATTGGCAAGACATATTGCAAAACTGTACTGTCTCGCCAATTGCGGGAGGCCGTGATGTGAAAATGTCCGGTTTCCCTGCAGCACCGCACATGTGGCAAACGCAAACGCTATGCGTGGGGGGCATTACTTCCAAACCTCTTGGAAAAACTAACTATGATGATCCACATATCTCCGGATCGGGTCTGACAGAACCCAACAGCCCTATTCGAAGCAAAGAAGCACTCGACCGTGTGGGGCTGAGCTGCTGGCCAGCACTTCTTTCACATCGGCAGAGCGCCTCAGGTTTTGGTGGGGATGATTCCTTGCAGCCCATCTGGCCCACGTCCATTGTCCGGGGTGGGGAGTCATGTCCAGAATCACTCGGCCACTACTGGCATATGTCGCACTGCAGGTCTTCAGGTCTTCATGGAGGGTCACCTGGAGATTCACGGTCGCCTCTCCGTTGAAAAAAAATCCGACTATCATCCACTTGGTAGGTCCTAAAGGCGACCATCGGACGAGGTCCTCCTGCATCGCTTCAGAATCTGTCCACCTGGTCCACCTGGCGGACCAACAAACAAATTCTGAGACAAACCCCATCAAGGGCGCACACTGCCCATTTCTCCCCTGAAGCCACCAGCCAGCTTGGGAGAAAGAGACATGAGAGGGGCTTATAGGATACAAAGCAAATACATCACCAGCCAATAACTGCAGCATACTGTGCTCAGCGGATCGTGTTGCCACTATAGCTAGTGACTAGTGACCAGTGGTTCCAGCGACAAAAACCATACCTGGAAACCCTGGTTCCTTACACAGTCGTAGCTGGGATCCATCGGGGTAGCTTTCAATCCGAATCCATCAGTAATCAGTTTGATCAAACGTCCTGTACATAGAGCCAAACAATGGCGACCGTAGAGGTGAAGAGGCTGTCTTTGTCAACCCTGTTGTCCATTTCAGATTTTCAGAAGTGGAGCCATGGCAAAGCAGCCATAGACAGCCCATGCCCAGATGTGTCATGGTACTAGAAAGTGAGACTTGATTCATAGGTTCATAATGTATATTTCATGTATGTTCTAGAGTAGGTCTCTTGTGATAGTCAGAAAGAAACGGTTTTCTCACTGAAGAGCAAGGCTTTATCCCACATGGAAGGGACCCCGTGCAGCTGTGCGGCCATGAAGTTCAAATATGGGGTACGCCTGCAGGCGCCGAACCGTGTGGCGAAGGCGACCGTCTCGTCTGGAAGAAAAAGGAAAGGGTCGCGCGACGGTCGTTGTTGCAGAACATTCAAAGTAGCTGGGCCACAATTCCAGTAGTGCATCCATCTCCTGATAGCTTCCATCCGTCTTCCGCTGTCAAACAGGTCTTTGTGCCATTTGCATCCATTTATAGACTATATATTTTCTGAATCCCTATTATAATTATTGTCAGCGATAAATGCACCCTCTGGTCTGATGGGCTTGAGGACTACAGTATATATCCTCAAGAAGAGTCCTTTAGATGCCTGATATCCAAAGCTAACTTGTACCTGTGGCAACACCTGCGGTCAGTCCCCCAAGGGACCTTCGCCACCAGTGCATCCTTGCTCTTTGGCTCGTCCACGGATAATGGAGGTTGGGCGGAGATCCTCTTCCCCTTGGTCTGAAGCTGGTTCCCTGGGCCTTTGAAATACAGTGGAAGCATGTTGGCACCATCTTCCCACTTTCCAAATGAACCGATATCTGGTCTTTCTCTTGGTCTTAAAAGGTCCAGCTGGACCAAGCATATCTGCAAGCACTTCATCACCGAGCACATGGGTCATGTCAGCGGCGAGCTGGGTGTTCAGGAGGCCTTGTGAAACCTTCCTTCGATATTGACTGTTCCAGTCGTTGAACTGAATGAAGCGACAATTTATGCCGATGCTGTTCCGGTTGTTTGTTTCTTTCAGCGGAATTGAGCCAGCGTTGCAGGGCTCTCTGCATCCCTCGTGAGATCAACTGAAGCGGTGTCAGAAAAAGAATCAAACATGTGTATATGCCTATAACCCTTGGAACCCTTCACCTGAGGACCTGATTCGGACTGGCCCATACCTTCGCCATAGCCACCCCCAAGTCCTTTCAGGGTCATATTTCCTCCCTTCATCCTACAGGAATTCCGCCCATCTCGCTGACCCGTTCTTCGCATCGTTGGGCCGGTCACCACGGCCACCGGCCTCAAGGAACGTCTGAGGTCCACCTGACCGTCCCTCAGCACCACCTGATCCGCGGTCCAGACAGACATGGCAGGTCGGGAGCACTTTGGAGGTCGCAGCTAGTAGAAGTCAATGGAAGGATTCTTTTCTGCACGAACTCTTGGGTGAATGAAGATACCCTTCCAATCTCGCTTGGGGTTGATACTATATGTGACCTCCAACTGCATGAAAACCATTGCTCCAACTGCGTGAAAGGCATTGCACTCTACAAAAAAATACACAGAACATCCTCTCATCGATGAAGCTGAAACCCCATGGGTTGTTAAGAACTGCCGAACGACCAGCTGCGAAGTAAAGCTCCCCATCGTCCCGGTGGGCGATGCCGCGAAGTAAAGCACCCCATTCCCAACGCCAAAAGAGCGACTGATTCACACAGAATTGGCACAGGTACCCTGACAGCTGAGGGTTTCTGCACAGGTCAACAAAGCACGTCGGCCAAGTAGGTATGCGCATAGACTATGCACTTGACGCATGTCTTTTTCGTTTGTCTCAAAGCATGAGACCGTGCTGTCTATGCTTTGAAACTCCACGTAAAACCAGACCAAGCATGGGACTCTGCTTGTCGATCTCACCAGGAAAAGAGTCTGACGGAAGGATTCCGTCTCTATGTTGAGTCACCCCAGTAGATCCAGGCAAACCGCGATGTCCTTGGTAACCAGTGGTTCCAAAGACTAAAAAACACACTGGTTCCTTATACTGGCAACTGGAATCCACTCTGTGCCACATGTGTTAGAACATGTTAGGACATCTAGCCCTCGAGCTGTCCAAAGACGTGTTGCAACACCAATCCACCGGGCAACACCGAGTTGTCCAATCCACCGGGCGCTGCTAAGCCCATCGGAAGCCGTCGGGAACACCAAACAGATGGGAGAACAACGACCGGCGCCTCTGTTTGAAGGTGTTGCCCGTCCTTGCCCTGAAACCACAACTGGCCTGGTCTGCGCCGAGGAACACCAAGGTCTGAACATCTACGTGGCAAACGGAACGAATTTGTCAGATTACCATTCTGTCATGTTCACCCGAATTCACTCACAAAACCAACTCTCTGTCTCAGAAAATCAAGCTTGCCCAAGTATCTGTAATTGCCAGTATATATTGCATTGAACAATGACCCCTACGTTAGATAGGCCCTGGTCTGTCTTATCACTCAAATAAATTGTTATTGTATAAAACAAATTTGCTTTTCCCCCCACTCCCCTTAACTCATCGACACCTCACAAACCCTCAATTCATGTCCACTCCCCAGGTGGCAAACCCCCCTATCCACAGCCACGCCAACGTAATGCGTGAGCAGCGCTCGAAAACCAGGCAGGAAAGTGGCCACCGCATGCAAACCAAGCAGGAAAGCAAATAAGCAACAAAAATGAATTCAGGAGGTGTTTGCCTCTGGAGGAAGGGTCGATTATTTTATTTGGCAAGCATAGGCTTGGGAAAGTGCAGGGGAATGCATCAC